CAACGATCTCCCGCGAGGTGGAATAGGTAGTTAAAGCCCAGCTGCTGGGGTCGTAGTATTCCCGGTTGGCAGGCCCGAAATGTGTCCCAGTACCTGTTACTCCGTCTTCCTGTGCTGGCAGGGTCTGCCTCAGTGACTCGGCCATTGCCCGTTGAAGCTCCGGATCGTTCATTTCTTCTTGTTCTTTAAGGGACTTGACATTGCTTGCTGAAGCCGCGGCATGTTCGGAAGAGAGGTCCATCATCGAATTGTCGACTCGTGAAGGCGGGCGAGACAGGGCGGCGACTCCTCCCATGCTCACATCATCTTGAACTACAGCAAAGGCTCGAGTCACTATACAAGCCCTCAAATGTGTATGGGTACGAGAACTTACATGGAAGATGGTCTTGGTATTGCCAGTCGTTGGAAGCCGGCTGTCCTCACACCCACCCATCAGCAAGCATTTCTTGGACTGGACGATGGCCGAACCGAGCGTACAGGCTCTTCAATCACGGACCTCGTGGGGTCTTCAAACCAGGCGTTGATGGCACTGTTGACGTCGTTGTTGCTTTTCTGCGCCGCAAGGAGTCAATAGCCCTCCTTTGTGTCGCTGTGATGATCATGGGCTCACCTTGAGCAGAATCCTCGCGCTACCTTCGTCCACCTGTGTTATGGCACATACTTGGGATATTTGATCCCTTGTAGGTTGTATGCCTGCCATTGTGAGAGGGATGTCGACGAAGATGCGACGTATGAGGAAGACGCGAGCCGGGCGACTGGGGGTTCGGAAGGAGGAGTGAGACTAGGATATTGACAGGCAATGATTTGGAAATGTTACTGCGCTCTAAAATCGCTTCGCATACTTGTAGATGGCACGAGTTTCTCGTGTGAAGATGCTAGTAAGTTGAAGAGCATTAATAGGTAACCCCGTTTCTCCAACTCGAGTTTGACGTGGGAAAGTGTTGCGACTTACACCAGTTGGCCGACATACTTAGCCAAACCACCGCAGGCCACTAGGCTTCCCCGCAACGCAGGGCGAGCGCTCAGGCGAGTGAGGCTGCCACTTGCTTGACAAATTCTCAGCCTTGTGCCAACACCATTCGCCAGATACGACACAATCCAAAGTATCATTTCGGGATTATTATCTGCTTGCTTAATACCTAATGAAGGAGTCTTACTCCTCCGTGTTTGAGCTGGAGGCATCGCAACGCAGGTCGGGATCAGAGTTTCAGGGGGTTCCCGTCAAGGTAGCAAGCCAACAACAGGACCCTTCAGCGCGGGACCTCTAGTGTAGCTGGAACTTCGACAGCAGCTTCCGACGTCTTGTGCATGACAAGGCTATAGGTTCAAGTCTACAAGGCCCCTCAGAGCTGCTCTATGAAGCCAGGCCAGGGCCGATAGAGGAAGGATGCTCCGTCGTTCGGGGTGCGTCGCTGCCCTTTTATTCTCCAAAGCACATAATCTACAATGAAATCAGCCTAGGCGAAAAATAAAAAGAAGACGAGAATTGGAGCCAAATGAAAATTTACGCTTGTCCTTGGAAAGATCATGAGTTGTCGCGGTGCACTTCGTGTGATTCAGATCATGGTGCAAGGCTTTACAGTGAAAGGCGTACAGTGAAGCCATCCATTCCCAATCGTTACTCCGACTATTACATATTGACTCGCCGAGTAGCTTCTGGTTGGGCACTGCCAACTGGGCCGTCCATCTGTGTCACATTCGCTGCAGCCCACGAGATCCCTGGGTTATTAGAAGGGTGGTTCGAGATTTGTCTCCATTTGATGCGACGGCCTTAACAAATAAAGCCCGCGACAAACAGTCCTTTTTCCTTTTGTTTTTTTTTTAACCAAAAAAAAAAAAAAGAAAAAGAAAAATCAAAACAAAAAACCAAATTGTATGAATTCCAGTAACGACCCTCCCTACCAACGTGCGTGATGTAGATCGTTGCTTCTTCCATGCGTCTTCGAACTGGTATCCTGGGCCGACAACCGGCGTGCATTACATCGCTACGCATGAATCAGAGGCGGGCTGACAATATACGCCCTGAGCAATCACAGACCAACACCCTTTTTTCTAGTCATTTGCAAATCAAAATCCGACACCGTATGCTCAGCATCCAAAGCGTGGACCGATTGCACCGAGTATACACCTTCGAATTCGCCGTCTGTGCTCATTTCCCGCCCGGGCCCCCCACCTTTCGCGTCCTCAGAAGATTGGAAAACCTAAAAGTCCTTGAATGCGTCTTCCCACTCTTCCCGTAGTTCATCTGTGTATCTGCCTCTCCCACCCTCACTCTCTTCACCCTCGATGGGATCGGGATACTCATCGAAGTTGCCTGCATCGCCAGCCCATTCCACCCTGGGAATAATGGGGCCCCGCTTCTTCCGGTAGTATATTTCATCCCAATCAATGCCATCAAAGAAATAGTGTTGCATCACTCTCTTGCTCCCACCGGCAATGTGCCCGAGTCTTTGGGTCGGATCGGTCTTGCACAGGGCGAGAATGAAATCTCGTGCAGCCCGGGGCACGTGAAGGCTATGACGGTGTCCGTGTTGAGACGGATGCGCAGTAGGGAAGCGGATGTGACCCGCAACAATCTGCTCATAGATGCGCATGGGGTTCTGGTCCCAAAACGGTGGTTGACCGATCAGCATTTCGTAGACCAAAATACCCAGTGCCCACCAATCGACCGCGGTTCCGTGGCCAGTGTTTCGTATCACTTCGGGCGCAAGATATTCAGGCGTGCCGCAAAGGGTATATGTGACACCCGCTCCGTTGGCCTGGGGTTCGGGATGCTCTGTGCCCAGCTTTTCGAGGGTGGCGCTCTCGCCATTCTCGCCATGCTGTTCTGGACTAGCCGGAAGGTACTTGGCAAAACCGAAGTCGACCAGTTTGAGGTGTCCGTCGACATCGAGGAGGATGTTTTCCGGCTTGAGGTCTCGATATGCAACGAATTGCACCTCGTGGAGGTAGGCCAAAATCAGAGTGATTTCGGCCGCGTAAAACTGGACGGTTGAAAAGGGGAAGCGACGAGCCCGCCTGAGATACGAAAAGATCTCTCCGCCAGGGGTGTAGTCCAGCAGCATGTACAGTGAGGTCTCATCGGAGAATGATGTAATTAGGGTGGTGATAAAAGGGTGTCCAGCAACTGCGGCGAGAACATCCCGCTCGTTTCGGACATGCTCGACCTGTTTTAATTTGATGACATCCACCTTTTTCAGGACTTTGAGCGCGAAGACCTTGTCTCTGTCCTGCGGATGAGGATTGGCGAAGCGACATAGCCAGACTCGCGCAAAGGTACCTGGCACCGCGACTTTTGTTAGTTATGTCTGTGCGCGTGGAGTCAAGCCTATGGGATAGGTTTACCGGTTCCAAGTGTCCGCATCAACTCGAAGTCGGTGACCTTTAGGGTGCGGGATGACTGGCCCAGCTTCTTCTCTTCTGGGGCCTTGGAGATCTCCTCCGGAGACATAATATCATCCTCCTCCTCCTCCTCCTCCTCTTCTTCTTCTTCTTTGGGCCGGGCAGGATTGACATATTTCTGGGTTTGCTCCTTATCGTACTGACGACTGGGATGTGGGTGAGAGGCGCTCCGAGTGTTTTGAGGGTTGCTGTTTCGTAGATACTGCCTATGGCCCTGAGCTGAGGCCGCTCGCTGCGGCGGCGGCTGTTGCTGCGGCGTCTGAAGCGTCGCTGTGCTCATCGGAACAGCCAGTTCGCATCTTTTTCTTTTCCAAGTAGCCTAGGGAGCGTCAAGGCTGAAAGTCATCTCGAAGCGGGGAGATCGAAACACAATGCGATTTGCGATCAAAGAGGGGCGTCAAGGCAAGGCGGCGTCAGCGGTGAGGCAGTGCTGGTCGGGTTCTCTTTGCTGGACGATAGTGTAGGAGGGCGACGAGGACGAGGATTGCAGCTGATTCCTGCGAGGGAGCAGATTGGGAGGAGGAAGCGTAGGGATTGTGTGTGAGAGAGAGAGAGAGAGAAGAGGCACTGCCCCAAGAGCAGCAACCAAAAAAAAAGGCTCAGAGGAAAGCAGCGCAGTGGAGGCGGAATGATAGACGAAGGCTTCACACAAAAGACTTGCTGCTGGTGCTGCTGAGTGACCCTCTTGGACTTGCTTGCCTCCCCTCTTCCCCCCAGCCCCAGCGGTTTGTTTGGGTCTCCCTAGTCTTGGGATCCCTGATTCCCGATTCCCTCAGCTGCTCAGGACTAGCAGAGCCTAGCACGCATCTGTCGCAGTGGAGATCTCGTAACGAGAAAACCAGAAAACCAGCATGGCGGGCATGACGACAGGCGGGTGGATGCGGAGGATTTTGAGTGGCTGACAGCTGAAACCAGACCAGATTACGAGGTACCTTGACCAGACACCAGGAGGCATTAGGCATTTGGCATTTGGCACTGGCAGCCGAGCAGAATGCAAAAGGCAAAAAGAGACGAGACGGAACCTGGCTCGCTGGGTATCGAGAGCTAGTTGTATTCCTCCTCCTCCCCCCTCCCTCCCTGCCATGTCTGGGCCGGCCATGTCGATCCTGGTGATCAAATTGGTGCGACCGTGCTGCTTCAGCTGTCCAAATATGCCGGTTGAATGGCACAGCACTTGCACAACATCGACACACATCCATCGCCGGAATTGTTGGCGAATATGGTGCATATTGTAGGCATGGGCACCAGAGGGCGCAAGCACAATCTCACAAGCTCTCAATGGGGAAGTCGTTGTATGGACAGGGTCACACTTTTAGTATGCGTTCTCTCTACTCCCTAGAAGTACATGGCGTCCCTGCCGGACCATTTGCGGCCTGTGTTTCAATAACTCCTCCAATGGATTTAACCCTCTGTCTATTATATGCATGACGTTCAAATCGTCGATTAGTTCCATTCCCAGTTAATACTCTCATTTACTGTCCTGGCACCTTTTTCGGCGTCCCACGCTCGGATGACGCTGCCAAAAAGAAAACCACACTCGAACAAGTATGGAGTACTTCTGTACTCAAGGGGCAAGCCGATAAACAAATAGACTGCGTTCAATTGTCCTTCATGCGCTCATTCTCGGGCTTCCACGAACCTGTAAATGGTGATTAGCTATTCAATCGCGTCCCGCCAACGGCTCACCTAGAGATCACATACCGTCAAAATCATGTCTCACGAAAGCCATGGGGTGCTCAGGTCCCTCCGAACCCATCTGGCCTACGCCCGGACTGAAGCTCGTGATTGGCAGCACCACCACGTCGCCAATCTTCTTGTGTTCGGTGATGGCGAAAAAATCAGGGTATGACACATTCGTTTTCCGGCCGCTGAAATCAAAGTATTCTTCGTTGTTGAAGTATGAAAACAGCGCATCCGTCCAAACGCCAGGTCCCGTGTATTCCATGATGCTCTTGGCTGGTTCTTTGCCCTTTCGCAGTTCCCCAGCCTTTTGCATGGCCAATGTGTCTTCGGTGATGGTGGCTACAATATCTCTCAGAACTGGGTGGCCTGGCTTGGATTGGATCGTCCATTGACAGAACTGTATCCTTCTAGCATACCACTCATTCCAGTCTGGTCTGTCCGGATCAGCCTCAATTCCCACCACCAAGCCCACTGTAGTCTTGTCCAGGTTTTGCGGCAACCAATCCATGGCAGACTTGAGAGCCTGCGTGTCGATGTCACTGTAGATCCCCCCACGCGCAAGCAGAATCAGGTAGCGGAAGAAGTCGGCGCGAATTACAGGAAGGGGCATGGCTTCGTATGCTTGAACAATCTGGGGCATTGAGGCATACAGATAACTGATGAGGTGCATTGCGGCCTCGTCCGTTACCACCTCATGAACAAAGCCAGGATGTAGATTCGACCAGGATGCCTCAAAGGGTCGTAGTCTCTCCTCGAAGTTGCCCGAACCCGGTTCGTGTTTCCAGGTCTGCCAAATGTACGCTGGGAACTTGGCTTCAATGTCGTAGGGGAAATGGTATCGTAATCTCTCTCGCAGTGGTCTGTCAGCCACATCCTGGACTGTCTGCTGAGCCCCCGGGACGATATTCGGAGGCTTGGGAGGAGGGTAGGGTCTCGAGGGTTGTCTGCCTTCAGCAACTTCCCCTGGAGGAAGGCTCGGTGAGAGAGACGAATGCCGCAGCAGGAGGAATAAAGTCAGCAGGATGGTAGCGGCGAGAGCTGCACGTCTCCACGAGTTGGATATTGCCATTACGAGATCCAGCCTCTGAAATCGGCCCGAATTGGAGTAGTTGCAGGTGGAGGACTTGGATGGCAAGACTGTCACTTTTCCAGTCCGTTCACGGCCGGTCGAAGATCGGAGGCATAGGGTTCAGGCTTTATGGGGAGCTGTGGACAGAGGAGTGCGACGGCTAGGTACAAGTCGCAATAGTCTTCCTAGGTGGTCGCAGGGACACTGATTGAAGAGAACTATGAGGGCGAGTGGAAATACATTATCGTGACATGGCTTTGCCCTAGGCTGAACGGTCCTGCCGCAGCTACAGAAATGTGAAGAGCGAAGGTGGAACGGCGGGTCGAGGAAAGAGCTCGCTTCGAGAGGGACGGAGGAGATGGTAGAAGGGACAGAGAGAGGAGTAGGAAGATTGCAGGCGTCACAGGTAAAGGGCATGGGAAGAAGAAAACAGCAAAGAGTCCTCGAAAGTCGACCTTATTGAGGTAGCACGAAAGTGATTGCGCATGCACGGTGTTTTAGGTTTCTATCAGGAGGTGTCGATGCACATGGGGATCCACGTTCATTGAAGCGTAGCGCGAAGAGTGGGCACCTGCGTACTACTGTACCCAGGTCAGGCCCAGGTCCGGGCCCTAGGTAAACAGCTAAGCTTTGGGGCTGCCAGAGTGGGTATTCACGGGCCTTGGCCACCTGTCCAGGCTAGAGACTGCCTATTGGGTGCCTACGGGGCGCTATAGGTCCCTGAGGAACTCAGTACATAGCGGGTAGGTAGATACCTCGAAACGCCGTGCTGACGTATTTGTATTCTACCCCCACGGTCACTGTTTCAGACCAGCTGCCGGCGCACAAAGTGAATGATATTGAGTGTAGTACTCGGTACAGGAGCCTCTGTCATGGATAAACGGGAGACCCAAAGCCATGTGTTTCCTCCACCCCAAGTGACAACAATAAATCATGCTGATTCTTTCCTATCCGTTTCCGTCTCCCCGTCACTCTTTCTCTTATCCAAACGAGTTCCAGCAAGCCGTATAATGATACCTGACCGCCCTGAGCCTTCGCGCCCTGCCCATGAAAGATGTATCCGGAAACGGAAATGCGACAGTCGTTCACACTATCGTCGTTGATACTTTTTCTTCTCCATCACCTTTTCGAGAATTTCCAACCTCTCCTTCGTGATTTTAATCGCGTCCTCCATCTCTCTTTGGCTGAGCTTTTCTTGTTTAATCCTGGCTTCCACGTCTTGCCTCGTCGAGGACGTACTCCGCTTTCGCCTCTGCCGCTGCGTCAACCTCTGCTTCGCAGTATCGCTGTTTTCGTTCATGTTTGGCCGTCCGAAACTTCTTGTAGATGTCTCGCGCAGCGAAACAGTATCAATACTGGCGCGAGACTCAAGCCAGTCCCAAAACTCATTCTCCTCTCGCGACCACAGAGAGTCATATACCGCCAGGCGCTCCGACTGCGACTTATACGGGCTGAGTTGAGTAGTTCCCGCCGGGCCACGGATCCACATCCACAAGACCATGATAAAGAGAATTGCCACCACGACCTCCATTTTGACGACGGGTCTTACCATGTCTATAACGGGAGATAATGGGCGCAAGGGTTCGAAAATCCCCCAGTTCACTCCTTGTTTCTTCTCTTCTTCGATTTTTTCTTCCTTGGTTTTCTTCTCACCTTTCCGCTTCTTCTTGGCCAATTTCGAGCCTTTGCTAGCATTCGTCGTCCCCCTAGGACGGCCGCTAACCGCACCCTTGAGGATCTTGACCAGACTATCACCGTACTGCTGCTGACCTTCATTTGCACCCTTTTCAATAGGCCCTTTCAGCCAGGACTTGGCCGTCCATTCGACCGTGCAATTCATCTGGAATCTCGTCGCGTTGCCAGGTGCCCAGGAGAGACAGTACCGAGTTTTAGTGCTGAATGCATTGCCACTCGGAACATCGGGAGTTTGCGTAGTACAGGTGATGCTCACCGATTTTTCGAGGTCGAAGAAATCCAAATTCTCCGTCGTGATGCACTTGGTCTGTTTCGGGCCAATGCTTCCCCCCAGTGGCTTGATATACGAATACTGCCTGCTTTTGACGTCATTGTTCAACCCTTTCTTGTCGTCCTCGAAAGTAATTTCTGTACATTTGCATTCATCGGCCAAAAATTTACGCACAAAGAATCCTGACTCGGGCCCGTACAGCAGAGAATATATCTTGCCCAATGGAGCAGGAATGACCTCGTCCTTCATGATCTTGTCGTAATGTGTAGCACTGTCCGAGCATTCGGTTGGCGCATGACTCGCTGGCCCGGGGAAGTCATTTGCTGCCTCTGGAAATCCAGCTTGGGCAGCAAGGGGTTGTGGAACATTGCTTGCTGTTCCGGCCAGGATGCTAGCCGTTTGCGCAACAGCGCTTGTGTTCATGCCGGACGGTTTTCTAGACACGGTCTTGCCATCCACAAGCTCACTGCCGGCGTTGCTCGCACTGCTTTCTAGAAGACTGGGAGCACTGTCATCATCTCCGTCTGAGTTCGATTCTTCAGTGGAGCTGCCATCACTGGGCTGAGCACTTGCTTCATTTTCTGCCACGGTGGCGGCACTGGCCTCTTCAGCGGCTAATTGCTTCCCGTTCATGCTCTTTTGGAAACTTGCCGGATGACTGACGCGCCAAATCCCGATCAGCAGATCATAAGTCTGCTCTCGATATATTAAGCTTCGAAAGGTGTGACGAGCATGTAATGTCTGGATGGCGATGGCGTTTGGAAACACGACTGCCGTGTTCTCCCGCTCTATACTGACAACTTCCTCGAAAGAAATCACCACCGTCGTCACCCAGCCAAGGATATTGCTGAAAAAGCATATGTGGCCTTCGGAAATGTAGATCCTCCCAGCAAGCAGGATCTCCTTTTGCAGAGCACAACTGTAGTCTTCGATTAAATAGTCATCTTCGGGAACACTCCGGAACTGTTGATGGAAGTTTCGATTGCGTTGCTTTGGAGCCATCGTGAATCCCGTTAATCGGGGCCCCTTGGCTGGATTTGCCAGCGTCGCAGTGCTTGCCCCTATCATAGCACCAATTGCAGACTGGCCAGTTGCTGTGGATGATCCTCGGGATCTTCGCTTTCCAATTCGACTGCGAACACTCCCCGTGCGTTTGACCGAACCCAATTCGCCTTCGAAAATACTGCCGTTAGGAGGCGTCCTTTCCCCGCTGTTTGCCGCTGCTATTGCCTGTGCGTGCCTCATGCTGCTACCCACGGGATCGGGTATTTCAGCCACAGGAGTTGTCGTATTCGACGGCTTTTCATAGGCAGCCGAAACAGCCCGTTTCGCAAGGGCGTCTTCCACTTTAGCAGCAACCTCCTCCTTCTCTGCAGTGGCGTCCCTCTTGAGCTCAATCGCATCGGCCTTGGTGGAGGACGCATTCTTATCCTCAGTCTTCAGACCCAGGTCTTCAAAGTTCAAGTCTCCCGAGCCCAGTGTCTCTACTGCCAACTGCTTGCGCGGGACTTCTGGTTCAGGGATTTCTTCCTCTTCTTCTTTAATGGATTCCTCGGCATTTTTCTGCTTATTAGTGGCGTCTGACGCATTAGTACCAGCCCGGTTTCGGCCCTGTCCCGTCAGGTTCGTGATGGTCGATGCGGCATTTTGTGCCGCGGAGACCCAAGACGAGAATATACCTCCAGACGGCGTTCTCCTCTCCTCCGAGGTAGGCATCAGTGGGGCAGTGAACGAAGTAGAGAGCTTGCTGGGCTGATGTGTGACAGAAGACGCAGAACGGATCCGCCGGTGTGATATCATGTTCCCAGAAGGACTGACCACAATATTCGAGCTTTCCGATGGAGTCTTGGGGTCTGGCTTCTCGGCATTCGGAGACTCAATGGATGGTTCAAAACGAGCGTCAGTAGGTGTAGGAGGAGTAACGGTGGTAAGCGGAGTGCCTATGAGAGCAGCAGGAGGTGTTAAAGGCCGAAGTGTATCGAGGTGTGGCATTGAACTGGTTTGGGGGTTAGTTGACACCGGGGGAACCGCTGTCGTCTGTCCAGGAGAGTTTTGCTCTTCATAAGCTTTCGATCCTGTTGGGAGGCTTTCGTTGCTAGCAACTCCGGCGACAGGCTCGGTTTCCCTCCGCTCGGGGCTGATTTTCGGACTCTTGCTAGGCTTGCCAAAAACATCTCTAAACCTCCTTCCAGGTGATTTGCCTCGGAGCTTGGATATACTGTCGCGGCGAGATTCTGGTTTTAGCGAGTCTGCTCGGTCAATCAACCCAGCGGAACAGGGTAAGGCTGGAGCGGAGTCAGACGGAGGCGCACTCTTGGGTGAGGGAGAATTTTCATTCTCTGAAGGTTCAATGAGGGTCGGGATGGTGCTCATCGATAGCTCTTTGGAGGGGCTTTGTAGGGATTCACCATCACTACGGGTGGTGGTCGTAGATATCAAGGGCGAGGACATGGATGCGAAGCCAGTGTGAGAATCTCGGGTAACCAGGGGAGTTGTTTCGACCTCCGAGTCGTCTGTGAGGAGACTGGTATCACCATCACCACCCTGACTGCTGCCTCTCCTGCTCAATGGTGCTGGAACAGATGCGACACTCAACCCGGTACCAGTTCTTCCTCTTGTCAGATCTTCAACCGCAGCCTTCAGTTCCAATTCGCGCAGCTTCCTTCTCTGTCGCTTACTATGACCCGGCAGCAATTTGCGCACTCCACTGCTGCCAGATTTGCTGCTCCCATCTTGACTGATAGAGCGCACACTTTGTCTCGTGGGGGATTTGTCCAAGGTGACCGAGTCAATGGATTCGGTGCGCAAATCTTTGATGATCTCGTCGCCCACGAGTTCCGACGAACGGCGCCTGTTGGAGAGAACTTTCTTGAGACCCTTCAGCTGGGGAGAAGGCTCGGGCATTGTAGGCGCGACATGAGGAGAGGATTGGGTAGAGACCGCGGCCATTCAAGGCAATTCCGGGGCTGATGAGAATGCAGTTGTCGTGTGCTGCAATGCGGCCACCAGTGTTTAGGAGCAACGGGGGCGCAATCCGCGTGATGTCACACGGACAATGGTAACGAACGGCATGTGGATCCTAACACAAAAAGAGGGGAGCATCCAAAAGTATCACATCAAAATGGATATGAAAATGTCTCAAAGGATAAAAGAAGGAGTGCAGGGAACTGAAGAATGGAGGAGGGAGAAGTTGAAGCCAGGTTGACGGCGGTCACCGTTAGTCGAGATGCAGTCAGTGCTTTGGAGATGGTTGTGTAGTGCGTTCAGGCTGCCGTCTCAGGGCATCGGTAATAATACGTAGTAGGTACAGGAAAAGGGCGCTGTGACTGGCCAGAACCTAGTGGGCTGCGAGCTTAGGGGTTCAAAGCCGTGATGCCACCAGCGACGCCCAGATGGAAACAGTGGGGAGGGCTGGAAAGGCTCGAATGGCTTGCGTAAACCGGCAAGAAACCCCCGAATGCGGCAAGGCGATGCATTGGCCACTGCAGGCAGATTGAATAACTCCGCGCATTTGGGCGGCGGCTCTCAAGCTCTCAGGCGCTCAAGCGTGCCAATCGAGGCATCTACCTAGGTAGTGATCTCAATGCGAGCAGCTGGCTGGAGGGCCTGGCAGCCCTGGTGGCTCCAGGCTCCAGGCATGAATTGGTCGAACCCAGGGATCCAAGGCTGCCGTACCTACCGGTACTTGTTAGGCAGCTGCTTTGGGTTGGTGCGGCTGCTTTTCGGCTCCCGTGCCACCCGTCTTAGGGGCTAGTGGCATATTGAGCGTTAGCACAGGACTCACCGCCCCCCTTTCCCCAAGACCACCCCCACCAAGATCTCCAAAGAAAAACAGCGTCACTGCAGCCTTGTGACCTGTGACTCGCGACTCGATGTGGCCATGACTTGCTTCCACAAAGGCTGAACAGGCGCGAATCAGAACAATGTCGCTTACGCCTCACCATCCTATCCTCCGTACATGTCGATGCACTACAGCCAGCAGCCCGAGATTCCTCGCAATCCTCTCAATAATTGAGCTAAGAATAGATGGAGACAGCACCACTGACTCTCGTAAGCACCATGTCGGAGATTGAGGGATGGAAGAACAACGATGCCCATTCTAATGTTCTCCTACCCAGGCTCATACCCATGCCCGAAATGCTGCTCTCGAGGCGCGTCGTCACAATCCCGTTGCCGCCAGCGAGGAGCATGATCTGGCCGCAGCAGAGTTCGCCGCTGCGGCCCAAGAGACTTCAGATTCTGAGGCACTCCGCGTGTTGAATTTATTAGAACAACATCACAAGAAGCTGGGTCAACTGCTGAGGGCAGCTCATGAGAACCCACCAGCGAAGGAGGCTGCCAACCATGCATCAACTGGCGAGGGCGAAAATGCGCTGCCCATGCCAGTGCCAGTGCAGCAGAAGCAGGAACCAAACAGATCGCCTTCGCCGGAGGCCACCATCCACCCTCCGAGACTTCCCAGAGGCTTGAGGTCGAGTTCTCGCGAATTGTCCTCTTCCATTGCAAGCAATCTCGCCTCCGCGAGAGGCATACCTAACAACCGACAGAAACGACCTACCCCGATTTCTCCCTTGGTCTCGAATCAACATGCCGACGGACACAACGCTCAAGATGATACAAGGGGCAAATCTGCCCTCCGAACGAATGCAGATCCCAGTGATGCTCTTTTGTCCATGTCCCGTCAGTCGAATTCACGTCCATCATGGGCACCGCCGATTTCTCCACCTCCAGCAAAATCAAATACGATGGAACAGCTAGAGGCCCAAAGCTCGGATGCTCCATTCCAGCAGTTCTATACAACTTTCGAGAGCCTTGTTTCGAAACTCAGTGCACCTTTGGCATTTGCCGGTTTGCCACTAACGAGTGCTGCACCGTCTAAGCCACCATCTACTCCCGCTCAACTCCCTTCTAAAGCCCCGAAAGCGGTGTCCCGTCCAGCACCAGCAGCGCCGTCGGTCGATTATTCCCAGCTCATCTCGCGTGCAGCCTTGCGTGCGGTTTCCGGCACCGGCCACAGCACGTCCAACCCATCGGAGTCCTTCTACGTTGTTCCCACCACCGGCGGCACAATTTCCTATGCCGAAATCATGTCCCGGGCCGAACGCGAAGAGGCCCGTGCTGGCCTTCGTGGGCCTGGTCATCGCCGCCAAACTTCGAATCTCTCAAATATCTCCGAGGACAATTTCGTCGACGCCCAAAGTACGATACTTCCGGCTCCAGCCAACGGACCGCCAGGCCGCTTTGCCAGGGCCCGTGGGGGGGCCGACGAGATTAAAGTCAACGGCAAGACGATGGAAGAGCTCGCACTAGAGAATCAAGCGCTCAAGCACCTCTCTGACACACTTTCCAAGAGATTACACGTCTTTGAGATGTCCGCTCAAACTTCCTCCGCGGCACTAGCGCAGAGCATACGCTCCCTACACAACCGCTCGCCAATGCTCTCCCCAGAAAACTCACGTGGTAAGGGTATCAGCGGAAAGATGGGACTAGACAGCGGTGGAATGGCTGGTATCGGCAACAGCGGGGGAGGAGGAAATCGTGACGCGACACAACGCAGAATAGCAGAACTGGAAGAAATCCTCCGCAAGAGCGATGCGAGGGCGAGAAAGCGGGAAGAAGAAAACATGAAGTTGAAAGAAACCATCACCAAGTATAGAGAGAAATGGGATAGTCTGAAGGCTGGAGCCAAGGCGAGAAGGGCACGTGAGAGGGCTGGCAGGCCAGGCAATGGCGACAAGACCGGTCCTGGCGAGGAGACTACCACGGAGGGAGGCGAAGACGAGTCTGCTGCTGGAGGATGAGACCGAGTACGAGCAAAGTAGAAGCCAGAGATACCAGCAGAAACACAGCATGGATATGGGTAGAACTGGGATTTGAGAAAGCGAAAAGAGCACGATCGTTGAGACGCAAGGTGCAAGACGACGGATGATATTCTCTGCGCTGTGCCGGAACCGTGTGTGGAATGTATTCATGTATAGAGGGATCCGATACCCTCGATACGATTTATAATCGACGTTCTAAGTGGATGACTCGGAGCAAAGTGCCACGCAGATGATGGAGAAACATCTTCTAAGCTGCCGCATACCTGCATGATCGAACCTCGAGTCCGACCGGATCGATTGGGTATATTGCGCCTTGCGGTCGGCTCTACGAAGCATAGCCCAACCCGAGTTATTTACGCATCGCCGGATCCAAGGTCCAAGTCCACAGTTCAAAGGAGAAACACCAGGCCAAGGATGTTGCACTCATTCCAGACGATTATCGCCGTCCAGCACCGATTGAGATATATGACGAATCCGGCCGGGAGGAAGTTATTCAACAAGCACCATTGGTCGATCACGATGTATATGTGCGAGAAGAGCCATTGGAATCGCCCTGTCAGCTGCCGAAGAGGCTCAAGAAGGGGTCCTTGATGCGGAACCAAGAAAACGCCGTGACGAGATTGGTCTGGCTTCATCTGGATGCTGCCACTGATGACGGACACAAGGTGGTATCTTACGGTCAAAGCATGAAAGGTCCGGATCGTGAAAGTTGCAAACCGCACCATTGGGCGTCAACATCACCATTACATGGGCAACACCACCTGGGAAGTGGTTTGATCTGATTCCTCAGAGCGACCCACCCCAGGCGATTACAGCCTCGTTGAGAACCCAGATCGATGCAAGGCTAGAAGGGTGGTCCACAGCAACAAGCAACTCCGACCGAATCGATCGATTATCATGCTGTTTACGTCAAGACGGCGAGACATGAATCGATCTCGTCGGGTCCAGCTGGTTATGGGCATAGTGCCACCACTGACGAGGACAATGAGCGGTACAAGTCAGAGAGGAAAAGGGAAGCTCAGCATTGTCCGCTCCGACATTCTTGTCCCATCGACTTTCGAATCACATCAACTCCTAGATAGAGAGCTCGGATGGCATGGCAATCGGACCAATGTATGGAGTACATGCCCTTGAAAGTAAATCTCGTATTGGGCCAATGTACTCCGTACAGGGGGTATTATCTACTAACATTACGCTACAGGATGACACTGCTTTCCCATCATGAATAGCCGTTCTCGTCTCTCCTTGCACTCCTCCTATCATCATCACCACCACCACCACCACCACCACCACCACCAATTCGATCCCCCAGTGCATCTTTTCCTTTGCTATCGCTCTCCCTCCGCTTTCTCCCTGAAGAGTGGCGACCCATCATCCCGCTCAGGGTTTCGCTCAACGCCCTTAGTCTGGTTCTCCTCTTACCCATGTCACTCTCCCCGTCCACCTCGATGCCATTACCACCCTGAACCCCACCCGGTCTCGCCTCATGCGTCTGAGCACGACTTAAATCTTGAGCACTGTCGGCGCTGCGGTTTTGCCAGTGCATATTCAACGCTGCCAGCGGATCGTACCCGTCGACGTCTTCAGTTACAGCAACAGTCCGTCGTCGGTCGTCAATAGAATGCCTCCCGGAACGGGATCGACGGAGCGCAGCGCGCACAGAACGGGGTGCCCCTTCACCTTTTAGTAACGAATCCGCCACCAAAGCGCTGAGCGAGTTTGACAGAGGCGGTAAAAGCGGGCCTGGGACGGGAAAGAGCCGGGAAATGCTTCCCCTAGAGCCACGGGCGAGGAAACTAGGGGCAGGCGAGTTGTCATCAGGCGTAGGTCTTGCGGAGCGATCTGGGCTCGGAGGTCGAGGAGTTCCGGATGGTTTCGAGGGTGTTTCTGGCTCTGCGGGCGATGACGCAGAGCGCTCGAGGTGTTTTGATGTTGCCGGGGTATAGAAGGGTGTGGATTCGTCGCGAATTCCGCTGACTTGAGGTGTTAGTGGTGGTAACGAAGCATCGATTTGCTCGGTGGAAGAGAGCCAGGGGTTGGAAATAAGGTCTTCAGAAGGTTCAGCAGGTGTGACCGAGATTGAGGGAACTATCGAAGATGCGTTCGATAATCGTCGTGGCGTCCGTGGCGGAGCGGTAGTAGCTTGGGCTTGCTCTGAATCGATGACCACTGGATACTCAGCCGTTAGTGCACCCGTCAGTTTAGGTGCATCTCGCTTCAATGGTGTCCGCTCATTGACGTCTTCTGTTTCCTCGTCGAGAAGCTGTATCGTCTCCTCCTCGTCTCGAGCAGTTTCTTCCGCTTCGCCTATCTCGTGACGTTGGCTTGTGATGAGATATACGCCAAAGAAGGTCAAAAGGCATCCGATGATAAATTTGATTGCCTTGTCCAATGTAGTATGTTCAAAATCTCGGTACAACACCGCCGAGCCAATAATGACAGAAAGAGTGAAGAGTACAAATTGTGTTGGTATGACCTGCGTCGAATCGTAGATCTGCAAAGCACGATTCAGATATCGAATCTGCATGAGCGCCGAGGCAATGAGGACAAGGACGAGGAAATAGAAGATGGCAAACGTAAACGCCTTGTAAAGGGAAACGGACAAAAGCGACGAGACACCTTTGGTGGAGAGCGCGGTATAGCCTCCACATAATGCCACCAGACCAAGGTCGACGAGTATGGTCTTGCGACCATATCTTGGCTCTAGATACATCAGAGCCACAATCAGTAACACGGTGATGATGACGTAGAGGAGGAATTCCCATCTCTTTATGGTCTTCCACAGTTCACCTGGTCCGAATTTAGCCTCACTGCTTCTGGCGGACAGGACCACCGTGACAGCGCCGGCAATTGCAACCAGGACTCCGTACAGATCGCGTCGACGAAACCGCTCCTTGAGCATGAGCGGAGCAATCAGACAATTTGAGATCAAGGCGACAACACCCAAGGGGCTGACAATGGACGCAGGAGCGAAGCCATAGGCAAGGAAATTGCCCGCTTCCCCAATGATCATCAGCACTAGGCCTAGCCACCAGTATGGCGACTTGAGATATGACGCTCTCTCAAGGTCGTTGGTGGAGTCTTTCTCACGGCGATGGTCCTGCTGAGCGGGTCCCAGGGGAGGCTGTAGAGTCTCCTGAGAGGAACGAGGTGCCGATTCCCCCGGTTCTTCATCTACACTTCTCTTGTGATCAGATATCTGGAGATTCTTTCTCCTTCGTTCCTCCGCGATCTCTTCCTGCGCTTCGTCGGCGGGGCCAGGCACATGCCCGGGGGTGGTGTGTCCATTCGCGAACGATTTTCTCGACTCGGAATACTCGCGGTCTATGAGGATGTGCGCGTATCTCTGGGTGTTCAGAGCAAAAGAGATGAGGAGATTTCCCACAATTGCCGTAACAATGCCAATGAACGACGACCACTTTTCGTAGCCGGCGCCGGGTTGCAATCCATCTTCAGGGGCAAAAAGATGCAGTGACTCTGTCGGGTAGGCACTAACCGTGACAGCGGCGATGGGAATGTGCATTGGGAAGGGGCGCGCCTGTCGGATCAACCAAGTCTTTGTGCGCAGACGAGTCTAGGAACGGCCGGAAAAATGACGCAGATGCTGTCGGAAGTCGACGTAGCCAGTAGGCAGGACGGGAGCGACGGCGCTTCATCTAAGGACATCAGCGTGTCCATGAGAATGATAAAGGATGTGAAAGTATGGGCAATGCTAGAGCCATCACGGCTCTATCTCTCTTTGAAAAAAAGGAGGAAGATGGAGAAAAGACGACCGAGGGACTTGTCCTCGTTGTACTCGGTATGGCGCAGGAGATATACAGTAATGCTCGCATGCACCTTCTACGTCGTTGTGCAGCATGCGCAGGCTTGGCAGATAGACATCACGTGCGATTCCCCCAGCCTTGCCAGTTCTTTCGCTCACGGCCAGAGGCCGAGCAGCGCAGACAAGCCATTCGGGGACGCCGAGGGAAGTCTCATGCGGATCAGCCGCTTTGAGCAACAGTAATAACACTGGAAGGGGTAACAGGTCACGTGGGAGTGTCTGGAGCTCTTCTAATTTTTGCTGAATCGGTGATGGAGTCCAGAACGTTTCGATTTCCTTGAATCTTGTCCATGGTCTGTTCGTGGCTGCGACCGTTGAGATGAAGCTATTAGCAGTATTGTCAGCGTCCAGGGTTGATGGCTTGCATAGTTTCTGCAAGGTCCCTAGCAGCAGCTTTCGGTCCTCCTCGGCCATCTCGTCTACACCGTCAACGACGACATAAGGTCGGCGATCGAGGAGTGTGGTTGCTGAAAAGATACTGGAATACACAACATGCGTCGGTAGCGGTCAACAGTAAGCCCATAGCATCTAGCTTGTGATCCATTTTCCCAAAATCAGCTAGGACTGACCTGTCAGCCTCTAATAATTCAGAAGTCAGAGGCTCTCTCATAGCTGAGACTGTTCTTTTGCGCTCATCTTTGCCATCACAGGAGAAATACAAAGACGAATGCGCTCAGGGGACACGATTGACTTGGCCAATGACATTCTTTGCTGCCACTGACTTACCGCAGCCCATGTCGCCTCGAAGCCAGGGTATGTCCGAAGGCCTCGTGTAGTCGTTAAGCCAGTCTTTGAACTCTGGCTCTTTTGCAGACATTCCAGCGGATTAGGGTAGTGGTCCGGAACGAGATCTAGGTGTCCTTCGAGGAGACTGTTCGAGAGGGCATCAAGAAGTTTTGTTGCATCACCCAACAAAACATCTTTATCATCATATATTGGCACAGGGCGTGACGAGTCATTGATGAGAATTGCATAATTCCTGTGGCCCTGTTAGTTACTTGAGAGTCCACATAACTTGATAGCCATGTGGTCATTTTTGAGGGGGTCAGGTCTCACCACGTATTGGTTCCCTGACTGGAGTAGGACTGTGAATGACAGGCTCACAGCGCCTCAACTAAAGCAATTGATCAGCACAATCCTTTATTTGGAGCTTGACACTTGATGATTCAAGGAGACTCCAGTATGGGCAGCAATCTTTTTGATCTTTTTGTCGTCGTCCATATTTAGTTCGCCCACAGTGACATCCTCATTGAACCGCCAGTAGGGGTTCCGCGCATACCCTTGAGCCAGTCGGGTATGTACAGCTTCCATCTGGTTGGCCATCTCCTTAAGTGCCTTCAGTATATCGGTGGGGCTCGTGAGGCCCTCGACGCCGATCGCACCGGTAAGGCCGGTGCCAATGCTGACGCTGCAGCCAATCTCGGCCTCGAGAAACACTTTCCTCGCTTCATGCAGGAGATGGTCACATGGATTGTTGTGCCCAATGTGCCCAAAACCGGAATCTATGAACTCGACTCTGTCTCGACCGCATTCAATGGGTTTGAAAAAGGTCGTCGCTGCGGATGTAGGGCGTACTATTCACTAGATCCGACAATTTTTGTATGCCTCGCCATTTCCGTATGTCCGAGACAGTGCTGGTCCATGACGTGTATCAACTTTGGTGACAGCAAGCCCACTGTCTTGATCGAAGTCGAGTTCCTGCAGAGAGCGAAATCATCGTGGTCGACAATAGCATTCTCCCGGAGTTAGATTTTAGCCGCGTCTTTCAGTTTCGTAGCCTAGTATTTGCCTGACGTAGAGACCGGATTGAGGCGATATGGTTTTGACGTGAAGGCATTAGCCGCAACTTTGTCGTAGGCTTCCGAGGCTGGGATGCCGACAGACGCAAACGCCCAAGGAGAATCGCGATGGTACGGTACGCAAGCAGGATCAGCAAAGTAGCTTACTCAGAATCGAACCGACCCTCCGGTTCGGGTGCTCCCAGACAGATCGAAGTATTCACACGGGAGTACACGGCGGTCCTGATTTCACTAACTCTGTCCGTTAACTTTACCAGGATAGACAATGAAGAGCATTCCTGAATTTCGCCTCCATCTGGACCATGCTCAGTAAATCCTCAGCAAAGGGTGGGACCAAGCATCTAGGTTATACCTAGGGAGAGGATCGCAATACGCTGTGGCCTCCCTTGGAGCGACATCAGTGGTTCCTGCACAGCATCTGGTCAGTCTGGGGGGCCATAGAACTGTCAAGCTGTGGGACAATTTCGAGAGCCTTCAGCAAAGTCGGGGAGCCGACGGGGATGTGTTGATTGCGTTGCCAAGACTGAGGCTGTCTGGGTTGGTGGTAAAGGCGTGCGAGAGCCGCATTGAATCATGTGTCCATGCTGAGTCCTATTTATAATGAGAGCACGGCAGCGAGTGTCTGCAAATGCAAGAGCCGCTTTACCACGTACTGGCAGAACTGGTTTGACTGGTTTTAGCCCAAAAGCCACAAGCTAGGCTGTAAACCTCAGTCGAAATGATCCATAGCCTAGGTTCTCGATCAGTCATGTGCGCCTCTCCGCATAGTAGGGTGATCCAAAGTCACAACTTCCTGTGGACTAAAAGTGCGAGGGGACAGAGGCAGTTTAGCTTAAGGGCTTGTCAGTCGGCCACGGCATCGACAATGAATGAGGTAGTGATTGCAGGTCAGATACAGCGCGACATGGTTTCCAGAGACTTTAGCGAAGCGTACGTCTGGCTATGTCGCCGACCGCTTATGGTAGTCGCCGAGAGGAAACACATTGGTCTCGTGTCAGCCTATGAAGGTGCACAGTACTTGTACAAGCAGTTCCTCGTCAGAGTGAGTGGGCCTGAGTAAGGGTGGAATCTTGTCAGCCACGAAAGAATGGTTCTGAATGCAGTTGGCAATCTTTGTGACTGCAAGATTATAGGTCCTATGCCTTGTATCTTGTCTGCCTTTGGTGTGTCTAGGTAAGTAGTAAAGAAGGATGAATGTTGCCAAGTACTTCGAACTGGAGTATCATAATACCATCGCCAAGGAGATGTATCGGCGAAATGATTTTCCGGCCGATGATGTTCCAGTGACGGCGAGACCGTCTCGCATTTGATCTCACCCGACGAGGCTTTTGCAGGCTTTCAATTTTGCCCGACTCCATTCATCAGGTTAGTACTGGTAGTGTATCAACGCGCCACGAGAACATTACTTAGTACCCAACATATCGTGGCATTTTACATACTGCATCTGCTGGTCGCCTTCTCCCTTGCTCGGCTTTCTGCGCCTCCTCTTGTCCACCTGGTCTCCTTTCCACCATGGATCGCAGCCTCGACGAAACCATCGCTGAACGGCAGGTCCGTCTTTACCCTGATCGTACAATTGACTCCATGTTGACCACCACCCAGAGAGCAGAAAACCGCTCTCGTAGAGCCCCGCCACCGCAGCGCCGTAGAGAATACAATTATCCTCGCGATGGCGTCAGAAAGGTAGGCATCACCCCATCTTCCTAGCTGCCCTCAATCTAACTCCCACGTTTAGGTCCGAACATCCTCTCCTCTCCTCTAGCACCCGCCTGTCCCGCCAGTACGATTGATCGCCGCATCATCTCGAAACACCTCCCTTGTGTTGCTCCGACAATTCGACGCGCTTCAGGCCAGGGACAATTTGACAGACAGCTAACCTAGATCTTCCTCCTCCACAGTCTGCGAGAGATGATCGCGCGAATTTGGACAAGTATGGATGATGCACGAGCAGTGAAGAGACGGGACTAAAGCATTGACAGTGACTGGGTCCACGACCGATACGATGACGAACCAGACAGTATGTACTTTTGCAAACGAACACATTGAAGAAGCGATTGATGGTGGGAGCAGGCCGCCGCTACGATCGACCAAGAGAAGGCAATTACCGTCGCGATGAAGATCGCTCGCCAGAACGCGACAGGTAAGTCCAAGCCTTCACGAATGATTCGACTAGTCTGATCAGTCAGAAAACCTCCTCCAGCCAAGCTCAGAGTTGACAACTTGCATTACGACCTGACCGAGGAGGACATTTGGGTAGGCCGATTCAACTTCCCACAGGGACTCCCAATTTTGACAGCTATAGGACCTCTTCCAACGCATTGCGCCTGTGAAGGAAGCCCGACTACGCTACGACCGCGCTGGCCGATCCGAAGGGATCGCTTTTGTCACATACGCCCATGTTGCCGATGCAAGAGCTGCCATCCGCGAGTTCGATGGTGCCAACGCAAAAGGACAGCCAATTCATCTCACACTACTTCCGCTCCCCAGACGAGACAACCCTTTTGACCGCGTGGAGAACCCCAAAAGCCTTTTTGACAGAATCGAGGCTCCAGGGAGCCGTAGCCGACGACGAAGTGAAAGTCCGATGGAGGAGCTGGATGAAGAGCGAAGGAACCGACGCGCGCCACGGCGGGGAGGTCCGAGGGACCGAAGGAGTGACACCACCAAACCCCCTCCCGAGAATATTGATCGCTATGTCCCAGGCCAGCGTGACAGCCGAAGTTCTAGTCATCGCGGAGGGCGGAGACCGGGTGAGCGGAGGGAACGCGCCGGTAGAGATGGAGAAGGACACAGATTGGTGAATGGCAGGCCTCGTAAGACCGCGGAGGAGCTCGATGCCGAAATGGATGACTATTGGGGGACTGCTAATGCCCACGATGACACCTCCCACACTGCTCCAGCGGCGCAAGAAGCTCAGCCTACGGCTGGAGATGACATCGACATGATTGAGTAAAGACGAGGGTCGAGGTCCAACATTGGCTATTCTGTAACAGTACATCCTATGATTAGTGGAACTGAAGAGCCGACCTTGTGAAGGCTGCAGGGGAAGGCATGAAAAGGATAAGGCATTCCTCGGATGAGATTGAAATTAAGACTCAGTGTCTCTGTGCCAAACCAGAGGCTCTCCTGCTCGCCCACCTGGGTCCTAATTGACAAGCGTGTCTTTATCTAAGCTAGCTTCGACAGCACGAAATCTTCAACTGCCTTCATTCCCTCCTCGGCACCACTCCCCTTTGCGCTTTTGGGAAACATGATGTACCCGTGCGGCGCCCCGGGCACAATCTTAACCACCGACTCGGCACCGGCCATAAGCCACTTCATGCTCATGAACATGGTATCGTCGAGAAGACAATCCTCAGTCCCACAGGTAAAGAGGGCGGGCGGTAATTTGTCCCTCAGCGGCTCCAAATCGGCGTACAGCGGGGATATTGACGGATGCCTCTTCTCCTCGTGGGTCTTGCCGGGGAGGAAGACGTCAATGTAGTGGTCCATCAGGTCCCGGTCCAGGACCAGTATCTCGGGTCGTTGAAAGTTGTACACTTGCGGGGTCCATATCATCGAGTAACACCCGAAGTGTAACAGGAGCCCCTTGAAGCGGAAATCCGAGTAGGTCGGGTGGTGGTGCTGCAACAGATGAAGCGTTACGAGCATGCTCAAATGCCCTCCGGCCGATTCTCCGCCCACGAAACCTAAAGGCGCACCGAAATGGGACTCGGCGTTGTCAATCAACCATTCTGCGGCATCGAAACAGTCGTGGGGTCCCGCTGGGTATGGATCCTCGGGCGCGAGACGATACCCTACAGATATACATAGAACGCCCGTGGTGTCCGCAATTTCCTGCAAGGCAGGATCCTGGGATCTTTCATCTTGAAGAACCCAGCCGCCGCCGTGGATGTGGAGAAATACCGATTTGATGGATTTTCCGTTCTGAGGGCGAAGAATGCGACAGGGAATGGTGCGGCCAGCGTCGCGGCTAGGAATAATAAAGTCCTCAGCTGAGTCGAGATAAACCGCCTTGGGAAGGGGTGTTTCCCCGGCAGCGCGCATTTCGCGGTAGCGTTTAGCGCCGACCTGTTGTGTAGAGAGGGATTGTTGTGGTTGGTATTGGTCTTGGACTAAGAGGGAGCGCTGGGCAGAGCGGGAGAGAATAGAGGTTGGACATGAGATCTTCCCTGGTGCGGCAACTCACCTCATACCATTTGGGCCCGTGTGCCATAATATTCATTAGTTGTTGATTGAACGCTTTAGTTTCTTCTGAAATGGCGGTTGGGTGGAATTTGCTGGCTTCGAGGATGACAGCATTATGGGCGTCCATCTTTGAGACGTGCTATGTTAGAATGTTCACTCGAGGGCTTCGTCAGTCGCAAACAGGAGGAATGGATCGGTGCTGACGATTGCGAAGGACTTCACCTCCTCAAAACGGTGGGCAGGTGGGATATAAATGTGGACTTCTCCACTGGAGGTGATCGGCGCCAGAGCCGAGGACATCTCCATACGAGCCGGATCATGCTGTTGTATCTCCGACTGACCTGGCGTGCGTGCCTTGTAGAGGAACTGAGGAGTCTGCTGGCTTCTTTTCTCTATTGTGTGGGCGGCATTTGCAACAGGAATGTTCTATCATGGTCAAGTCGGTACCGAGGAGGTATAAGAGACCAAAAGAGAGAAAAGCGAAAGGACCCAGAAAGGTAATGTGCATATAAAGAGTATATACTTCTCCGTAATAGATGTGGTGGTACTTCGGATCATAAAGGGTAGAAGTGCGGAGTTTGCCTCCTAAATTTTACGACTCAGAAAGCATCTCTTCTGTCGAGGTATATGTCAAATCTGAGACCATTCATATCGCATTTTGGGTGCTGATGTGAATTCCTTCTCTCCAGAGGTGTTGTACTGTTGAAACTCCTCTAAAATCGACCGCGGTCGGTCGTCATTGCGAGCCTGACGGGTTCAAGGCTTGCCACCCTCAACCCGGCATATCAAGGCAGCAGCGTCTTGTATTTCACAAAGGCAGCGCCATTGTACGGAGACAGCGTTTCAAAGGCCTTGAAATGGATGATGATTCACTCAAAGATTATCTCCCGGCCTCATTTGGAGCCTCAGGGGGTGAACTTGACATCGAAGCACAGATGGAGACGGCAAGGAGGAAAGTCACTCGTCTGCCAGAGGCCGAGAGAAAGGCTTCACGCCGCTCCAAAGGTGACAGTGACTCGGACGACGACTCTGATGATGACTCGGAGGAGGAAGACGAATATCCTGCTTCCCACGAGATCGTGTTCAAGACTCACGATCGTGCCGTCACCACAGTCTCGTTGGACCCGTCCGGATCCCGGATGATCACCGGCTCAACCGACTGCACAATCAAACTATATGATTTTGCTTCCATGGCGCCCAACACTCTACGAGCCTTCAAATCTGTCGATCCTACATCCACAAAGGGCTCAGCGGCTTCTGAGACTCATCCAGTGCACGTCGCCAAGTTCAACCCGAATTCCCCAAGCCAAGTTCTGGTGGTCTCCGCCACCCCTCAAGCTAGAATACTGTCCCGCGATGGGGAAACGCTGACTGAATTCGTCAAGGGCGACATGTATCTCCGCGACATGAACATGACCAAGGGACATATCAGCGAAATCACTAGTGGCACGTGGCACCCTTATGCCTACGACCTCTGTGTAACCGCTGGAACAGACAGTACCCTGCGTATTTGGGACGTCAATGTGCGGAACAAACAAAAGGACGTCATCGTCCACAAATCTAAGCTCGCAGGGTCAGCCGGGCGAAGTCGGATGACTGCTGTCGCATGGGGCAGTCAAGTCGAAGGCGGAAATAGCCTCCTCATTGCTGCTGCGCTGGATGGTTCTCTTCTTATGTGGGGAGGAGACGGGCCTTACCACAGGCCAAGTGGTGAAATCGTCCAGGCACATAGTAGCAACACTTGGACAAGCGGTATCGACATCAGCGCTGATGGGCGACTGGTTGTCACAAGGGGTGGCGATGACACCATCAAACTGTGGGACACACGCAAATTCAAACAGCCCGTCAACTCTGCAACCCACACCTCGACATCGAGTCAATACCCAACTTCGAACATCTTGTTCGCTCCAAATTCGTCCTCCATCATCACGGGTTCTGAGACCGGCGACCTGTACATCCTCAATCCAGCAACGCTGAAACCCGAACTCGTCACTCCCATCACCCCCGGATCGGCCCTGATCAGCGTCCTCTGGCATGACAAACTCAACCAAATCATCACCGGCAGTGCAAACGCCGAAACACATGTCCTCTTCGATCCCAAAATATCCACGAAAGGCGCGGTAATGGTCATGTCTAAGCCACCAAAGCGTCGCCACATAGATGATGATCCAACTCTCACCACAGACATGTCTCAAGGGGTATCGAGCGACGCAATCATCAACCCAGGAACAGCCGGTGAAGCCATTCAGGGCAGCACTTTTGCCTCGAGACACCCGACCATCGGACTCACCGCGTCAGGAAAGTCCCGTGATCCGCGGAGACCTCACATCCCGGCCACTACGCCATTTGCCAAGAGTCAACCTGACGAGCGGCATATCAAGGAACGAATCCCTCTGAGCACAATGAGAGAAGAAGACCCGAGAGCTGCGCTTCTCAAATACGCCGACAAGGCAGAGAAGGATCCTATGTTCACGAAAGCATGGAAAAACACACAGCCAAAGACCATTTACGCGGAATTAAGTGACGAGGAAGAAGAGGGTGGCCCGCAGAAGAAGAGGCAGAGAACCTAAAGATCAATCTGCATAGTGGCATGGATCATAATTTAACCCGGGGACTGAGATCAAAGTTTATCAAGGCAACTTTTTGAGAGCCTCCAAAGAAACGCCTCCATCGCAGAACAAAGGGAGCCGCCGAATCGTAACTGTCTCGAGCTCAGAACACATGTGCTCGTCGCAAAATCTTTAAAATCCAGGTCAACCTGCTTGGGGCAAGACCGATCATCCACCCCATCCGATCATTATGCCGGGTCTTCAGACCTCCTTGGCTGGCTTTCCAGTAATGGCCTCCATAATCCCCTTGCGCGTGGGATGGACAAGCCGCTTGATACCCATCCATGGAGTATTCATCGGCGACTCGCCCGTGTAAATCAGAGTGTCATACAAGAAGCCGCCGAAAGTGCATCCGATGAAAGGGCATATCATGGGAACCTGGTGATTTCGCCGTCAGCAAAGTGGCAAAGAAGCCCGAGATGGACCCGGACATACCCAGAAGTAATACCCTCCGGCACTCCATACTTCATGCCCATAGCCGACAAAATACGTGAACAGCCTGGGCCCAAAATCTCGAGCCAAGTTAATGGCATATCCGGTCTCCCAACCGAGCGTCGCCCCAATACCAAAGATCAAGAAGAACAACCCCAGGGGGACCATAATGCCCGCTCCCAGATTCGCATCATCCTTCAGCGCAAAGATGACGAATACCAACACCGAGCTAGAGATGATCTCGGAAAACACCTGGCCTGTCTTGGTCAAAAATGGCTGTGGGTAGGTGCAGAAGACGCCCGCGGTGGCATGGTCCGAGAACCCTGGGACAGTGCGAATCGAAGCGCCGCCCTCGTACGCGTCGATGGCGGATTTGTAGTTGCCGTAGATGACGGCCGCGCCGCAAAAACAGCCCAGCACTTGCGCGCAGGCGTAGAGCGGGAACTTGTACCAGGGAAACTTGCGATACAGGCAGTTGACAAACGTGATAGCGGGGTTCAAATGTCCTCCAGCACAGCCTGCGACGTATACGCCAAGCATCACGCCAATGCCCCAACTGTTCCGCCGAAAAAATCCAGATATCAGCCACCCTTGTTGAAGACTTTCGTGCATTTTTCTTGCCTGTTGCACAAGAACGAAAACGAGGATCTTGGGAAATTAAAAGGAGGGAGGGATGGGAAAAAGCACTCACCCCCAAGAAATGGACTGATACTCGCCCTTGTGCTGACTGCTCTTGGGCAACTTGGGATTCGCGCTCAAGGTGACCTGCGCCACGCTCCCGTTGCCAAACAGGATCATGATGAAGGTGCCCATGAACTCGGCAAAGGGGTCGCGCAGATGGTGTCTGATGCGGCTCCACAGCAGGTTCTTGTGGTGCTGGTAGTCCTCCTCGGCCTCGGCGTACTTCAGCGCGTTGTCGATGGGCGGGCCGTGCTCCTGGTGGTACGGGTACGGCGCGCTGGGGTTCGGGTCCATGCTCCGTGCATTTTGCTCATGCTCGTGCTCGCGGTGCGCGAATGTGACTTCGTCCGAGGCGTGTTCTGAGGACGAGGAGCCGTGGGCGGCGCGCATGTGGGGGAAGTGGAAGGGATGGTCATTTTGTTTTTCGAGATTTTCCATGGTGGTCGGACCGGGTCTTGAACTCGTGCCTTTGTCTGAATTCTGGGGCTGCCTTCTAGGATGAGGCTGGAGGAGCACATGGGGCCGAAGGTTATGTAAGGGGGGAAAGCAAACAGGGCTCCAGATGAAATCTGCGAATTCGTTGGTCTCCTATATATGACTCGAGCCACTTATCGACTTCGTATCACACCTCTGAATGCACACTTAACACCCCATGTGCCCATCAGATGACAGGTCCATCACTGTGGTTCGGGAAGCTAGCATGTAGTGGCCGATAGAAAAAGTCGCAAAATTGGCCATGATGGGTACTACGTCGCGCTGCAGGGGTGTTACTTACCATCTCATGCGCAAGAAGCCCGTCTGTTTTCCATTCACGCCGCGGCTGTTGATTGGTCACAGGTATCCCCTGGATCCTCTCGGCGCTAGGTAGTTCGTGGATCACTGCTCGGACGACCTACATTGAACCGGGAGGGGGAGGGGAAAGACTAACGGTCGTGGTCAGCTTCATCATAGGAATTGGGAGATGCGCATAGAGAATTCCGACCAGGAGAAGGATACTGTGTTGAAGAGATCGCTGATGATGCAGATCGACGTCAGTGGCAATAGCATCCCTGCGAGGAGTGGAGAGGTAGGAATTCACCAAGACAGGTTAAGCGCAGCCCGCACTGAAACATGATTGGACATTCTAGACGTCATCCCATCCGTCACTGAAGGCGGAGGAATGCCAAGATATCATGGGTCAGGGGAGGGGATCGGCATCCTGTGTGAGGATGGGCTTCGGAGGCCCTATTAGCCTGCGGGGGCGGAGGATGGGGGATCGAAACATCCTTTCGATCACGGACCAGTCACTGAACGGACGAACACTAATAAGGAAGAGGTTGACTGGATGAGGGCGAACAGGTGAAGGCAGAATTTCCTCTCGGCTTTCGTGTTGATGGCGCCCCGGAAATCCCCGCTGCTTGGGCGATCGCAGGCTTGGGAAGAGTATCGCAATGCCGACGAATTCATCCTTTTGTGGCCAGACAACACGGCTACCCATGTCGGCTTTTGTACGCGCTGTGTGCTTCACGGCCTTTTCTAGCTGCGTCTGCAACCGTGCTTGCTTAATAGAGGAGGGGTTGGATAACATGGCTCGCCCTTGCACGAAGGAGGCACCTAGGAGGTCTCAAAGGACGAAAGGCCCCCTCGGGTACTCGATTGCATTTCCGGAAGCGACGTCGATGCTCCTGGGATCGAGTCTGCGAACATGACGTCAAGTTCGCTGAAAGAGACGGTGGAGACGGAGCTGAAGGAGATAATGAGATGTCAGCAAAGGAGTGCCTCATTGATTGATGTACTCGGCCATGTCAATACTTGGCCAGGAACAAGTTGCTTCGAAGGAGGGCGACACTTGGACATGAGCACATTGGAAAGGTCTGCAAGGTTGTAAAGGGTTTCAAAAGGCTTCGCCATGTGATCAGTGGTTCTTATCAGCACGTGAAGATAGAGGACCCCTCCCTTGCCCTCCCCAACCCTCCCCTTTTTGGCACCACAGCTTCGCAGGCTCGGCAGCTTGAAATCCCCCAAAACACTCCATATCCCATCCGTCTCGCCGTCCTTTTCGGCGTCACAGTGATCATGTTGACCAATTAAAGATCCGGAGCGCTTCTGAGGAGAGATCCCTTGCTACCTCGAAGAGGACAGGTTCACTCAAGGGCAAGATGCTCTGCTGGTTATTGGCACGTCCTCACAGCGGTCCGATGGAAGCTTCACAGCCTCCACTATTGCCGGATGAGGGGTAAACTGGGCAGACGGAATATTAACATCTCCATCTCCATCGCCTGTCGTATTGGCCTCTTCCTTGTCAACCAAAAGACTTACCCTAGATCGAGGTCACCTTCAATCTGTCTACTCTGGTTAGACCGTCTGTCCCTCCGCCCGCTCCTCCTCTCATCATGTCCGACGCTGCAACCAGAGCCGCCGAGACTCTCCGCTCAAAACAGAAGCCTCTGAAAGACAAATACCGATCCGACCCTTCCTCCGCCCTTGTGACCTTGTCCTCCAGCGGAACCCTGGACCCTACTTCGACCAGCCTAACATGTTCCCTCTCGTCCAGCACGGCCGCTCGGAAAGTGGCGGGTCTTCATCGAGCCGCAGGCGGAGAGGGGTTTGATGTTTCCGGTGAATTGTGCTCAGGCGACATGCTGCTGGAATCTCTGGTGGCTTGCTTTGGTGTTACCGTTCGCGCAGTGGCCACGAGCCTGGGGGTCCCCATTAACAATGGAACAGTCACCGCAGAAGGAGATCTCGACTTTCGGGGGACAATGGGTATCAGGGATCCGGAGGGCAACCCTGTACCGGTCGGATTCACAAAGATCAGACTCATTGTGCGTCTCGACGTTAACGAAGAGAACAAGTCCAAGGTGGATAAGCTGGTCGAACTGAGTGAGAGGTATTGCGTGGTTCTGCAGACGCTGAAAGGAGGTGTCAGTGTCGAAACCCAGCTGGGCCACGTAGGCAATGTGGTTCCTGATGCCCGAAAGAATCAAGATGAAGCTCTCGACCAAAGGAAGGGGGAAGGCATGTCAGACATTCCACCCAACGAAGATGTACTCAGGGTGAACTGAGGACACAGTCTGACACAGAACAGAGCCTGCATCCATCTTAGCCGAATGTGCTCAACCACGGCCAAGTGGCCGCAATATCAAATATCGCCAATGGAATGGATAAAGTGTCGAGCGCTTCGGGGGATCCTCCTTGGACACCAGGCTGGGGAGCATTTTTATGGTATATACGAATACGCCGACGAGCTCCATCATGGTAGGCGTCTCGTGAACCTCTGGTATGGGCAATCTCCCTCAATCTTAGCTTCTTCAAGCTCGCAGTCCGTCGCCCTCTAGCTTGTGCTTAGTTGTGGCTGTGTGGCGGTGCCGGTGGCCGTTGTCTACAATCAACCAATGGCCGGTTGTAGTTCTATCACTTGGTGTGGCTGTGTTGATGTTTCCAGCCACAATATTTTCTCCATCAGGCCACCAGCCGCCTTCGGCTGCCATCAAAAACAAGGATGCCTTCTCCATACCTCGACGAGTTTGTATCGTGCTCTGTCCCCGACCCGATCGTCTATAAAGCGTCCGAGTCCTCAAGCGCATAGACGTCCTGGGATTGATTTCCATCAGCTTCGAGGCATCAACAACCTCAAAAGAGATCAAAGAGTTGACGGCTGCTGCATTTCTACCCACCGGAGAATCTCCGATCTGAACACAATGTCCAGTCAAGATTACTACGGCAGTCAATATCCCCCTGAGCAGCACGGGTACGGGAACACTGGCGAGCAAGGCTATGAGCAAGGCTATCAGCAAGGCTATCAGCAAGGCCATCAGCAATGGCAACCTCCATCTGGTCCCCCTCCCCCTCATGGCTACGGTGACCAGTCCTACAACCAGGGCTATGACCAGCACAGAGCGCATGACTATGACCAGAACAGACCATACGACTACGCGTCTCCGCCGCCACAGGACTACCAGCAGCCCTACGGCCATCAAGGAGGTCATCAAGCCCCAATTGACCAGTATTCCCATCACGCAAATCAATATACCTCCCCTCCACCCGACCATTCCTATCATCAACCCAATTATCCCACTCATACCCCTGATTATAGTTATGGCGATCAAGCTCAACGTGCCTACTCGCCTCACCCACCCCCTGCCCAGAGCCAGTATGACACCTTCACACCACCACCAGGGCCTCCACCATCGCACATGGGTGGAACTTACCCTCCGCAACCCGGAGCGCCTTTTGACCCCAACGACCAAACCTCCCAAGACCGCGGGCTCATGGGCGCTGTAGCTGGAGGCGCGTTAGGTGCCTACGGTGGCCACAAAGTGAACCATGGCTTTCTCGGTGCTGTGGGTGGCGCTATAGCCGGCTCCTTGGCCGAGGACGCTCTCAAAAAGCACAAGAAGGAAAAGAAGCAGAAACTTCAACGCCCTGCCGGGCTCCGGCGGAACTCTTCTTCCAGCTCGTCTTCCTCTTCGAGCAGCAGTTCTTCGGACGACGAGACCAAGAAAAAGAAGAAATACGGCTTAGCCGCCGCGGGCGTGGGCGTGGGTGTGGGCGGGGCTGCTGCGTACGGGATGCACCAACATCAAAAACAGCAACATCAAGGCCACGGCCCTGCTCCGATGCGCGGCAACTTCTCTGCCTCTACGCACAGTATCACGCTGGATCGAGACTACGACCTCATCGCCTCCTGCACCAACGTCCACGGCGAACACAAGCTCTCGTCCATTTCGCTGAACAACTGCCTGACCAACTCGCACGGACATTTTGCGTGGCATCGAGGAGGGAACTTCGGTGCCAGCGCCCGGAACGTCAGGCTGATTGAGAACGGCAAGGTATTGGAAGCGGAACTGGGCACGGGCGACGGGAGATGGAACAGGGATTGGATCCGCCTCGACGAGCGCATAAGCAACAACGATGGGGAGTTGATCTTCCTAGAATAATTCCCGACAGCAAAGCGCAGAAAACACTTCAAACTGCTGAATGGAGACCACGAGGTGAAATGACTTGTCAGAAATGTTTATATGTTTGTTTGATGATATATATGATTCTGTTCCACCCCCTGGACACGAGTTCCTTGTGCACTGTCTTTTTCTTGAAAACGGGTTCGATGGAGAATCAGCTGAGCTTTCAAGTTGTGTCTGAGGCGCGATGCTTGATGAATAACAAGGTCAGCAATCAGGCGTCCCTCCTGACTCAACCCTCGACGTCCGCCGCGCCCGGTTCATTCCTCTGAGAGCTCTGTGGGAAGCCAAGAGACGTGTCGAGTGCGCCGCGACCAAAGCCCTTTCAGGTTGCCCTCCGTTCGTGACGTCGAAGGCCCTGGTGTCTATCTTCCCCGCCGTCTCGCACGGGCCGATGATGACTGGATTGTCTGGGTGTTTCCAGATAACACATCTGTCCGGCTGTTGCAGGGTATGTGTCATCCGGAATATTGCCGTGGTGTTGTCCATGTCGTTGCAGATGTAACCAAGATCACTTTGGCAGGGCGTAGAGGGTACGGGCCAGTGACGGCGAAGGTACGAGGTTGCGCAAGGTCGCGGTAGAGCAGACGCCGATCCTCAAATGCCCACGTGTCGAGACAAGGCTGGCATTTCAGGGATTGTTCTTGGCATCAAAGACAAGGTATCCGAGCGTCTGAATGAAATGAACGTCCGCTTTTACCAATTCGTTTCCCGGGATCTGATATATCTACGATCGAGTGTTTGCAAAAGGCCATGGACGTAATAGTGTTTGCGAATTGCTAAACTGTCAAGCTTCCAACGCGTTAAGACCGGACTATCGCTATTGCGCTGCCTTCGTGGTCAGCCGCGTATCTACTATTAATCGAGAAGACCACGTTTGCAATAGGGAAACTGAAGTTTGTGGAAGAAAACCTAGTTAATTCTAACACATCCCATCTCTCTAAGGAATTGCCTCCTTCTCCCCCTTCCTAGCCATATAATCATACAAACACGAGGAGACCCGTCATGAACGCTCCACCAATACAACCTGTATTTGGCACCCTATACCCTCGTCTGTTCTTCTCTCATCCTCAATCATACCTCAAGGAACGCATTTTCATCACCGAGACCGCTTTAGCTGAGATGGTCGCCCTAGTGAGGTTCGTCATCAGATCCATCAGTATGAGACGGGGATACCGCCGCCTCCTCATATTCACGCCGATGAGCAGCCTCCACATAACAAGAGAAGCTACCCTCAGCATTGGTGAAATGCACAGGCGATATAGGCGTCGACCCGAACGCGGCGACCACAGGGCCCTCAAAACGCGGGTCTATCGCTGGCATTGGTGCATGCGGGGCTCGCTGAGCCAGCAATGCCGCCATAGCTATTGCAGGCTGAGGCTGATTGACTGGGGACAGTGACGGAGGAGGTTGGGGTTGAGGTTGAGCCTGTGGCTGGTAGCCGCTTAAACGACCGTCCCTCAACGTGCCTGTGCGCCGTACGCCAGATCTTGTCACCCCTGGGTATTCCCCGAACTTCTCTTCGATCCATTCGTCGTGCGTCTTGTTGTTGACGTCCAAGACGATCGCATCTCTCGCTGCGCCTTTATGCCAGCAAGGAGGGCAAAGGTCCACAGGGACTAGATGATAGTCGTGCGGACCGTTTCCAAGGCCGCGTCTGAGCGCCAAAGTCTGCATGCGGTTGTAGAGTTCGGGGACGAACAGCCGATGGTGGGAAGGAATTGGAAAGGGAGTAGGTAATCCGCTCCAGAAATAATTGAGTGGTAGTCCGCTATCGATGGATCCGATGATCGAAAACAAAAATTTTTTGTCGCTGGCGACAACTGGTTTGAGAAGGCGATTGTTCGGAAGGTCGACAGTCATACAAGTGTTAAGCAACATCTGTTCGCATGTCCTCTTGGAAATCTGGTCGACTTCCATTGCAGTGGGGCGCTGCCGGCCAAAGTTGAACGGCGGGGCCCGGATACATTCCCTGAATCACAGTTGCCACATGTTGATTGTGTTGGCTGGTGGCATCCTCATTCCAGTGGGCAGATAAATGCGGCCAATGATATCATTCATGTCGACGCCCGGGTCGAGGCGAAGCCACAACTCCAATAACATCCCAGATACATTGTGTGCTATCCACTATGGCGAGTGGCTAAAGTATCTCGGTTGCCTTCCTATATTGTCTTACCCAGTTTGATTAGCAGCTTAGTTCACAAGCAGAGGGACGTCGACACCGCTCAACGTGCTCGGATATGATTCCATTTAGAAGAGCACTAGATGTAACTTGGTCTCGGAGAGCATGTGGAAGGAGTGAGCAGAAAGTTGTCCATTTGTGGGTTGTAGTTGGGTTGCCTAGTTAACGAATGCGACATCTGCGGTCGGGATGTAGCCGATAGAGTAATCTAGGAACGGTTGTTGCGGCGGAGGATTCGGCATGACCTCAGAGAGGGGTCTTGGACTGAGAGCGACGACACCTAGTGCATTAAGATCAAGAGATTTCGAGAGCTGTGACTGAGCTAGCTGGGTGCCATTTTCGCTTGACATTCAATGTCCGAGAAGGTTTCTCGTGGCTTTCAGTTTCTTGAACGGTGCGCTGGATAGAGGTCTGTATGGGGAGTGGCTTAAGCCGCCTGCGAGGCACTCAAATCACAGAGGCTGTCGACCAGTGTTGCAGAGAAGAAAATTGCGCCAAGTCGATCTTGTTCGGTTCGGAGCGAAGGTCATGTTGTGGTAGCGCTGAGAGACAATTCTAATGCGACATCCGAAGCGCATAAATATTCAAGGAAATGAATCGGCGCGGGCAACGTTCCAAAAAGGCTTTTGTTTCAATCTTTGCCGCAAGATAAAAAAAAAATTCGAAACTTTTGCTGTGCCAGTTACACTTCAATTTTGGTTTTGCCTGGAGATCCGACAAAGCTGAATACTTGCCTGGCGCGGTCCCAACTCTTGATTCCTTCGACCTCGTTCCTCATCTCCCGTTGACTACTCGTGCTTCTTGGTTACCGGTGTTCTGCCTCTTTGTCTTTTAAGACTTGGTTTTGGTTAAAGCCGGTCGAGGAGGTTCAACCCATTTTCTTCGATACTGAAAAGGAGCCCTGTGTGAAGCCCTCAACAGGACACAGGTATCTCCTATTGATGTTGTCATCCCTATCGACTGACCTAAGGTGGTGGCAATGTTCACTTGATGTTGCTAGCGTCATGATGTCTTTGGCTGACTGCATGCCAGGACGTAATCAAGGCTCCATGAATATATCATATACTCCTCGACGCAATCGAGCTTTTGGAGGAGCTAAATTGAGAAATAATGCGGCCTCAGTGGCTTCATGGCATTTTCCTTGAAATAAGTCATCGTTGAAAAGTTGAATCTGAGAGAACTAGTCATTCCGATGCTGGCCGAGCAGGGCTCTCATTGTCACAGGGACAACTGCTCAGGGAACCCTATTGAGGTGCAAGCTTGGATGGTCAAGCTCCTGTTGAGTTCCCACCACCCGCATAGGTCGGTCTGCCATCTGTGCGGAAATGTCCTTGTAGAGTGTAGCTTGAAGCCATTGCAGCAACCCGCGCCAGCAATTTGATCCAGTCCTTGTTTAGCTCGCATTCGCTATCCTGGTTCATCCCTAGGCACGGATCTCTATGTTCTGGAAAGTTGAGGCATCAAGGAGTAGGGGCCGGGTCATTGGCCCTACGCCATCGATTACAGCCTCGTGGTATCTCAATCCCAGCACGAAGCTGAATGGTTAGACTCAGACAATAATCGACCAGGGCGGGACAGCCAGAGCCATTGTCTTGCTAGTTGCGTTCACTTCTCCTCGCCAAAAGGATAGTTGAACTTCAACAGGCAGTTCAGTCCGCCCACCCAGCCATCGTCCTTATCGGCACCTGCACTGATTGTTCGCATTATGCAGGGAATGCCGCCAGTGAAGGCTCCTGAGTCGGTTGTTATCTCCTCAGCAGACACTCGGACCTCTGTGCCGACGCCGATGCCTTGTGTGCGCCTCATGCCATCGATACTGACGTCGACCTCCCGGCCTCTGTTCTTGTCACTTAGTTTTAAGGTGATTGGGGTAGTGGCTGGCAGAACAAGAGGCCGAAAACTCAAGCTCCGGGGACAGATTGGCGTCAACAACAAAGAAGGAACAAGGGGGTGAACGATACTTCCGCCACTGCTGAGACTGTATGCTGTGCTTCCAGTAGGCGTGGAAACAATCATGCCATCAGCAACTGCTTCAGTGAGAAATCGGCCGCCGACATAAACATTGACGATGGCGAGGTGAGGATTTTGACCTCTGTGTATTATGACCTCGTTCATCGCATACATATCGTCTGAGACGCCTCCATTACTGCTGAGGCGGTTGCCGTCTGCATCGAAGACGCCCACTTTCAGACGTTGTCGAACCAAGACTCTTGCGCCCCTTTCTGGCCCCATCGATTTACCACGGACAGATGACCAGCCTGTGTAATCGTTTGAACAGTCGAAGTCGTTGCAAGATTCATTCTCAATGACGGCGTGTCGTTCAGAAGCAGCACCTGACATATATACTTCGCGGATGGCCCGCTTGTATTCGGAAAACCTCCATTCGCTCAGAAACCCGAGAGTACCCATGCTGAATGAAAGGATGGGCGGCACGTGGGAGGAGGTGGCGAACAGGGATGCTGCGTGTAATATGGTTCCGTCACCGCCGAAGGTAACGACAAGATCTACTTTGTCTTGATATTGCAAGTGTGAGTGATCGGTTTCCGGCAGTGTAAAGTGGCGTCCGAGGAGCTCGTCCCCAATTCCGGCCGAGACACGGGGCTCGACCACGATGTTCACATTGGGATACGTCGATGAGACATGCCTGATAAAATCGAGAAGAGCATCTGTTGTTGCGTCTGAGTGATCCTTTTTGACTAGCAAAAAATTCCTGGGTGGTTGAGACCACTCAAGACAAAGAAGTTCCCTGGCAGGGGTCTCCTTGAGACGAAATGTTCTCTTCGATGGGAGATTGATCAGTGAGTGGCTGTGTGCTTTTGAAGGGCTCGAGGAAGAGGCGAGGGCGCGCCCTGGTGATGAAAATATGGGATTCAAGGCCATCTCTAATCGACATGGCGCGTTGAAACGCGAGATGGCAACAATTCTGGTTCTGGCCAGGAGACGTGCAGTTGTTGGAATACCAAGTCTGCTTCTGAGAGAGGCCATTGTCGCCATGATATGGTCTATTTGTATTCAAGATTGCGTGGTCAGATGATGCGCTGAAAGCGAAGGCTAGGTGGTCTGATAGTGCCATGGATGGTCTCGGTCGGCACGAGATAGAGTATTGGAGAAGATGAATGCTGTAAGCATCTACCAAAAAGAAGGAAATGGCATCAATTTGACCCTCAGGGCCTTCGCCTACTTTGGCATTGACCAGAAAGACGATGAAGGTACGACAATGAATGTGGTCCCAATACGAGGTACCAAATTGAGGGAGGATGGCAATCTGTCAATCCGTCAGGATCGTTTGGTGTCTGAACATGGACCCTTGCGCCTGACACGTGACACTCGAAACATCATCACGTGCCAAGATACTGCCGATTAGCACCGACCGTGACCAGTCGCCGCTGGTCCCCCAGCTTACTGACCAAGTAGGCGTGCGATTGGACAGGTATTGGGTTGCTGGGCTTCGCTAGGCTCGGAAATAGGCGGCAGTCTCTCCCACCGCCTTGTGGGCTTGTTGGATCTTGGGCATCTTGGGCATCCTGGGAGCTGGGGCAACCCGGCTGCACTTACTAATATGCTGGGGGCTGAGGGCATCACCACCAGCCTCACCTTCACTGCCGCCTAATTCAGACCTGCATATCCGCAACCACTAGGTACAGAGGCATCAGCGCCAATTGAACGTCTGCCTATTGGCATGGACTGGATTGTTGTTTGACCCGAAAGCCACAAGAGTCACAGGAGTCACAAAATTTCCTCTGAATCCTTTGTTATCCAACCTTCGCCTTCCGCTCCCTCGATGAATTTAGACATTTCTTGAGATCATTCTTGGGTACCTCTATCGCTTGCCCATTGCCAGGGTCGATGGCGCCTTTGTTGCCTGCTGTCCACGTTCGCTTTGCTTAGTGCTGACGAACACTTCAATGACAGTCATTGCAGTATAGTCGTAACACAGACTTCACGTCTCCAAATACCTGTCCACAGGCGAACTATGGCGACCGAAGATCATTCCCTCCGAAAGCGCAACCCCCAATCCTCGCTCACGACCGAGTCGAGCCTTGACCTGGGCAATGGCGGCAGCCCTGCGAGTGAGAAGCCACATCCAGCAGGCGAAGTCAAATACAATGTCCTGAACCAAGTGCTTCGTGCGCTTCTGCTGCTGACCTGGTTCAACTGTGGTGCAGTCTGCATTAATGTCACTCAGTTCCTTGGTGCGCCGCTTTATTGGCTGAACAAAGACTACTATTATGCATACATGGCGTTGACAAAACAATCATTTGCTATTATGGGAATCGCAGGGACACGGTGGTTCTCCCCCACAAAAGTGCGCGTGAGTTGGGATAAAGACCTACGAGGGCAGTTCCGCAAATCGCCGGCCGGGAGGCTTGAGACCGCATTTCCTGAACGTCTGGTGTATATTGCCAACCATCAAGTGTACACCGAATGGCTGTATCTCTGGTGGATTGCCTACACCAGTAGGATGCATGGGCACATCTTCATCATCCTGAAAGAGTCGCTGAAGTACGTGCCTGTCTTAGGTCCTGGCATGATGTTTTACGGATTCATTTTTATGGCGCGCAAGTGGATTTCGGACAAACCTCGCCTGAAACATCGACTCGAAAAGCTCAAGACCCGTCACAGCGGTCCCATGTCTGGCTCGGATGGACTGGATCCCATGTGGCTGTTGATTTTTCCCGAGGGCACCAATCTCTCGCAAAATATGAGGCAGGGAAGTGCCAAGTGGGCTGAAAAGCAA